CCTCACGGCAGATTTTAATAAAAAAATCCTAGATCCTTTTGATCCTTTTAACAGGAAAACAAATTCTTCATGAGAAAGACTAGTCAAATCTAACAAAAAAAACTCTTCACACAAAACAACCAGTGTGAATCGTTCTAGCTCTACGGTTTCGGATTTGCGTACAAAATTGAGTGCATTTTGTCATGAATTTGTAACTGATGGCAAAAATCTTAATTATATACCTTCACGGGCTCCTGATATAACAGGAGGTTCCGTGGTTCTGTTGTGTGCTGCTTCCAGAAGGTCCAGGTAAAGTGTTGCAATCTGCTATTTTGCTACTTCCAAAAGTTCCAGATAAGGCACAATATCTTCATCAAACTCCAGACTACTATGTTGACTGTCCTGGTGCAACAGGTAAAAAAAAATGAAGTAATATTAATCAGGCGATTATGGGTTGTCCTAAATATTTAAGGAGAGGCCCTTGACCAGCAGTGGGGTCCTTTTGGGTTAGTAAAGTAATTTTAATCAGGTATCCAATACTAGTACAAATACTAAAAACTTATTTATAGTCATAAAAGGAAGCATACATTGTGAATGTTGTTTCCAGTCTGATTTAGGATATTGCAGGCTTGAATCACTTGTTATCTCAAAACAATGATGATTCCGTGCTTCGGAAAGCACGTTAAGCTGTGGGTCCCGAACGCCATCTAGTGTTTGTGTTAACCTATCCTAGGATTGGTTCTGGTCTACCCTTTTGGTTGCGGAGGTCAGACGGCAGTTACTCTGTGTAAAAACCAGTAAGCTCTTTAAATCAGCTGAAGGGCTCTGAAGCGTTGCTGCTGAGGATGCAACCGGGAATACGCTCGGATGATGATGATGATGATGACCTAATGAATAATATAATTAAAAGTATGTAAATCAAATTCTTACTTGTGATTGATCGAATTGATTGTCGTTCTCAGAATCCATCAATGTCTTGGTCAATTGTTCAATTTTTTTTAAAATTTACTCTATGTCCAATTGGTGCTATGAGAATTAATCATATGCGAATCCAACAGCATTAAGCAGTCCATCCTAATGTGGTTTTCTGAAATTAAAAATACATACTAATAAAAAAATATATATATCAGTCAGTCCGGTACCTACTTTATATCTTAAAAACAGGTAAGGATTAACTTTTATATCCCAGTCCCACCTACATCTCACAACATAACATTTTGTATATCTACAAAGTTATGTACTCATACGCAGCTCTGGGAAAAAAAGAAAAGCAGATCCAAAATCAGAGTATCAGACTGAAGGAAAAGGACATTTTAAAATACTATTTATTGAGGCGAGGGGCTGATGAGCACTTGTCATGCCACTACTCAGTAACATAATAAACATCTAGCCCACTCGTCAGACGTGGCCGCGTGTGTGAATTGCACCGTAGGGCTCTGCTTGCCCCGATATATGGGCGTGATTATAAGTACCTATGTATGTAATCTAAAAAGTCAGGCGTAAATAAATTTTGATGAGTACATATCAAATAAATAAAACTTACCAGAGAACGCATTCACATTACCGCTAAGACCCCAAGCAATAAGTAAGTTTCTGACATCTTCGTCTATTTCAATTTAAAACAAGAAAACACAATTAGGAAGCGTAATGGCGGCGATCGACGGGCGATTAACCTGTCACTGTCACTTGTAAAAAATATTAAATATTTTACTATTGTTTAAAAAAATAAAATCTAGAGGGGGCAATACTAGGCACGCCATTACGGCGGTACATTCTTAATTTTCTCAGTGATAGATGTGAGTTCGGTTTTATCTGGCACTGTTCTGGGAACTGATATGATTGTAATTGTTGAAGTTGTAAACAGAAAATAAAAATAACATTTTGTAAACATATTCTGGAAATTTTTATTAAATCAGAAGCGGGATCAAGTTCTAGATGCCAACACACACAGGAAGCATATAGGTTTGTCTGTATTAATCACAAGGTAAGTTGGGATAATTGTTCTTCGTCCTTAAATTCTTCATACACATTCTTTGCACCAACACCAAACCTGTCTTTGCGCATAGAACGATATTTGTTTCGTCCCCATTCAATACTCTTTTCGGGTCTGATAGAATTACAAACAAACCGTGATCTTTCAGATATACTTCAATTACTTGAAACCATCCTCTAATATCATTTTCTGACACTGCAGCACTTGCTGCTGTTACAGCTTCAGGACTTCTTATAGCAATGTCCGGGTGTCGTTTTAAGAAAAGATGTAACCATTTATCTCCGGGTATGTTGTTTTTGTTTTTGAATTAGAACGGCCTGTTTTTGTAATATATTCAGATACGCTTTTCAAAAGTTTTCTTTTCGTTTAGGGAAACTTCTACATCTACATTTCTTCTTCTACATTAAGCACTGTTACGGGTTCGGTGCTTCGTCAATTAAATAGGCTGATCAGCTTGAGTATAATTTATTAATGAAATAAGGGTAATAATAAAAAACCCTTGTCGGGCTTCTTGTTACACTTTTGGATCGTACAAAATACAGTTTTAATTTAGTAAATATGTTATATTATTGTATCACCATAATATATGAATTATTAAAATTACATAGTAAAATTTATACCAATAATATTGTATTATATTATAATTTCATCTTGTGTATAGGAGAATTTCTTACGAACTGACATCCATAAAGAGTAAAATTGATTAGTCAAAATTTTAAATTACGAAAGACGAATAGTAAAATGAAATGATGTTGAATTTCAAAAACAAAAAGTTTGCATACTGAAACCTAGGAAAACAAACGGTGGCATGGCACACCGTTACAATACCGGGGGGGCCGGGGTTAAAAAAAAATCTGAAAGATTTTTTTTTAGATATTCTTGGATTACTCAAGCTTAAAATATTTTATATAAAATGTGATTAATTAATGCTATCATGATTTAATTTAGAAATGGGGATGGTATATATAGTGGATAAATTACATAAGGCGATTTCCCTTTCATAAAATGTTCTTACTTCATCATTCAAACATCATTCAAACAATCTTTATCTTATTAAGATAAAAATTCCTAGCAATTAGAGGTAACTTGTATTTAAGAAAGATTATCTCTAATAAATCGACCTAGAAAATAGTGTAGGCTTCTTTAAAATAATGTCAGTCACCACCCGCTGACTTTAGGTGAATTGTGTAGTGTTGTTGAGTGTAGATGAGTGTGTTGTGTAAGTGTCTAAATGTAGAGTGTAGAATAATATACAATCGTAGTAATAAATAAAGTAGGTAATGCGTTAGGTATAACAATACATTATGTAGTGTTAGATAGTAAGTAAATAAGTATACATAAGTACACAAAGAAATATTTTGATATTGGCTTATTTATAGTGTTATCAACCGCACTTTAAAATTGATATTTGACATTGGCTTGTTTATAGTGTTGTCGTCCGCACTAAATTGGTATTTTGACATTGGCTTATTTATAGTGTTGTCAACCGCACTAGATGAAAATAATAAAAATAACAATAAGTATGAGTAGCCAAATAATTAAATGAAAACGTTATGAGTATTTACAGGGTAGTAACAATAAATAAATAAGTAATCCAAGAATATTTCTCAAGGTCTCCTATCATTGGTAATAAAATTTCACGCAATTCTTGAGCCGTTTGGGTGGATTCAAAATTCGCGTTTCGTAATTTCAGTTCATAAATAATTTCTGGTTTATTCAAGTACGATATATCCATGATTAAAATTGGTTATTATAAAAGAAATGAATGTCAAATCGTAAACGGAAAATAAATTACAATATTCTATTTTTTAAATATTAAAAATCATCACATTTGTGACCAGCCAAAGTAACGCTGAACGTCTATTGTCTGTTTATGTGAGTAAATGTGATTGTGGTGTTGGTCGTAAAGTGTGCACTATTGTCTTCTATTGCAGTAGTCAGCCTATTTTTCAACCACGTTGCGGCGCCAGTGTTACGGGTTCGGTGCTTCGTCAATTAAATAGGCTGATCAGCTTGAGTATAATTTATTAATGAAATAAGGGTAATAATAAAAAACCCTTGTCGGGCTTCTTGTTACACTTTTGGATCGTACAAAATACAGTTTTAATTTAGTAAATATGTTATATTATTGTATCACCATAATATATGAATTATTAAAATTACATAGTAAAATTTATACCAATAATATTGTATTATATTATAATTTCATCTTGTGTATAGGAGAATTTCTTACGAACTGACATCCATAAAGAGTAAAATTGATTAGTCAAAATTTTAAATTACGAAAGACGAATAGTAAAATGAAATGATGTTGAATTTCAAAAACAAAAAGTTTGCATACTGAAACCTAGGAAAACAAACGGTGGCATGGCACACCGTTACAGCACTGGGCTCGGACCAGGCAGAAGATTATGTTCTGGTTTCTTTATACGAAACTGTAACGTAGCTCGGGGAAACTGATATTTTTTCGCGGTTTGCTTTTTGGCCATGCCATTTTTAATCGCATCTAATGCTTTTTTATGTCTTCCTCACTACATATATTGTTTTCGTTATCTTTTTTCTATTTTTCCTCTTGGTTTCTTTTTCTTAATTTGTTTTTGATTTCATTGTTAACGATTTACTCTATAGGAAAAAACCTATTATTAGCACACTAATCTTGCATTCTGGGCACTACTGCCAATAATTAGCTTTTGATATTAGCACATTTTTTTTTTCATTTCCTCTGTGAAATGCTCGCGCATACCACTCTGTTACGGGGAGACAGAGTGGTTATGTGGGACTCGAACCCACTAAAACCACCTGGGTGTTCCTCAGCCGTTCTGCAGCGCTTCTCGGTATCATCCCTGAGGACCCTATCCGAGGCACACCGCCGGTCGTCCAATCGGATCCATCTTTTGGAGCTTTGCTCTCAACAATCAGACGTGGGGACGCGACGGAACACAGTCGCGCCCTCTCACCACGAGAACCAGATCAGTGGGCGACGGAAATTCCCCGTTTCCGCCTCCCGGTTCTCACCGCAAGGAAGGGACTAGGCTATCTGCCCGCTCCCGTTCTCCCCGCAGTCATCGTGCTGCCGTCCGGTTTCGGCAGTTTCCATGACCTCTGCTTCTGACACCTGAGTGGCAGTCGCAGCTGGTCCGGAGGTCTTCTTGCGCATGGGCCTTTTGGGGGGCTTGCACGACTTACCTCCCAGCACATGGTTTAACGCTGTTCCAGCCGTCTCACGCACAATGCAGTGTGGAGCCGCGGTACACTCTCTGGCCTTATGGTTGGGGCCTCCACATCGGAGACACAAGGCACTCCGGTCAACTCGATCACACTTTGCGACTACGTGGCCCACCTCATGGCATTTGAAATAACGCAGTGGCTTCGACGGCAGAATACTGATAGCCGCCGAAACCCAGCCCACCAATAAACGTTTCTTGCCGCCCTCTGTCAGTTTTTTGGCGGCAGCCACCGGACATCTGACTACTGCGGTGCCCATACCGCGCCGACTCAGTCTGATCTCACTGACCAGCACTTTATCGACTTGGCAGCCTCCTTGTTTGGAAACAGCGTCTTGTATATCTGCCACCTCCACAGCATCATCAAGGCCCGACAGCCGAAAAGCGGCCGTCTTCATCGGCCTCGACACTTCAGCCACTTCTGGGTCCACCAACTCCTTCATGCGGTCTAGGAGCATCTCAGTCCGTCCCTCAGTGTTCTCGCCCGCTACTTCTAAAAGGCGGGCTCCAGTTGCTGCAGCTCTGTAGTGAAAGCCGCCCTGGGTGATAGTCGGGTCGATCTTTCCTTTACAGCTTGCCAGCACTTCCGCGTAGCTTATGCCCCGCTCTATCGCCTCAGGTCGTAGCTTAATTACTACGGCACCAGATTTGGGAGGGCGGAGTCTGACCGTCTTTTTTGATTTCTGCTCCTTCTGTGGGGTTACCCTTCGGCGTAGGTTTGGCCCTAGTTCCCCGCTTGGTGACCGTCACCCAACTCTCCTCGGCTGAGGGAGCGGGAGGAGCGGGTTGCGCCGTCTGTTGTGCGCTGGCCTTCGCTTTTTTCGCCTCTTTCTTTTTCGACTTACGCCCCTTAGTCGTGGTAGGGGGGGCGTCAGTTGGTGGCCCAACAGGTTCTTTTGAGTTCCCTGCTTGCACTTTCCTTTTGTCTGCCTCAAGTGGCGGTCTCAATCTTTCCTCCGGCGGCAGCCGACGGGCAAGCCCTTCAATGTGGGCGCTCATCATCGTGCCTGTCTGGTCTATGATGAGCCGCCGGAGCTCTTCCACGGACATGTCACCCATGGTGGTCGGGCGAGGCTCCCGAACGGCAGACCCTGAAGGAGCATTCTTAGTCCGTTTGAGCTCATCACGGACAAGCTCAAGTTCTCGCCGCAGACCCCCCAAGTCCTCACGCAGTTTGGTGTTTTCTGCGGAGATCCGGGAAATTTCAGCATTGGCGTGTTTGAGCTCCGTCGCAGTTGTTTGGAAGCGGCTCTCTAACAACTTCGCATCTTCACTTGTGTTGCGCTCATAGAGTCCTCCCAGCATTTTGTAATTAAGGACGCTGCGTCCTTAAGGGCTATGATAGAAGTCCCTTTTAGGTGGCCCGACTTCGCAGCGACTTCAAGAACAGCTGCGACACCGTCCATGCCCCGCTGGAACACCTCGCATGTCGCCATCCTGTCTACATCCTCCTCCGGTGGATCTTCGAGACTGTATCTCGGCCTTTGCGGTGGTCTCGCTTTTATTGCGGTTTTCACAATCTCTTCCTCTGAATCGAGCATCTGTTGAAGCTCTCTGGCCGCTTTTGCCTCAGCTCATAGTTTGCCCACTCCAATATACTGACCAGTGGTTGGAGGGCGGTCTCTACCACGTTTTCCTCCAGCTAACACCTTTGCTGACTCATTCGATAATATTCGCTCCGAAGAGCGTTGGTATTAGCACCTTGGGCCAAACTTTATGAAATTGCTATAAAATAAATAAATGTTAGATGGGGAAACAATATTTTATTTTAATCCTTTACAAATAAACCATAAACTCGCTTGTTGATAATATTTTGAAAATTCCTTTTATTGTCACTACTATAAAGGGATTTTGACGAAATTTTTAATCCATATATTGGCACGTAATAAAAAATACATGTCAATAATATATTAAGAAATAATCTTTGAATATACTGCCTTAAAGTGTATTTTAATATACAAAAATATTTAAAAAGTATAATAATTCGCATATATGTGATATACTACGATTAAAAAAAGCACTCACCTTAAGAAAAACCCAAAATAACTACACCAATTTACGACATCAAAATGCCAGCTATTGTCTCTAAATCGCCATATTGATTATTGGTACAGTGTTGCCAGTTTTTAAAAGAAAATTAATACAAGTTTGCTTTTAAATTCATACCAACCTTGAAGAATCTATGGTTTCTTTGTTTTTTAGTCTTAACTGTAAAGTGCCAATAATTTGCGGAGTGCCAACGATCGGGTATTTTACTTTATAATAAATAAATGTAATCATCCGTATTTTAGATATAACTTATTGGATTCCAATTTGAAACAGCTTATTAGTTTTATTTTTTATTGAATATAATGTTAAAAATGTTAATTTATTTTATTGCTCCTCTAAATTTTATTTACTTAATGAGTGTCATCTACATTCTCTTTTAATGATATTTTCACTCTCCTTTTGTTCCCCTATTTCCTACTTTATTTTATTAACCCGGCGTCATGGGGGTGGTAAATGCTTACACGGACGTGGGGGCTGGGTCATAATTACCTGGATATGAACTGTGTATATTTCGGAATCTATTAAAAATAATGAATATTATTTATTATCAGCATTGAATAAGTGTTATTAGGGTAATAAAAAACTAAAATTATAATGAAAATAGAAAGGTTTATTAATAAGAACTAGACTTTGAAAAATATACACTAATTTTTTAACAAATTTGGCTTCCTCTAGCAAAACTTAAAATAATTAAATTTTTTGGCAATATAAAATTTTTAAACAGCATTATTATTAATAACACAATATTAAACAATACAAATAACTAAGGACAATCATTATAATTAACGCAAGTGGGACAGAAAGGCACTATATGTTGAGGGCAAATATGTTTGTTGCATCCTTGACACACGTGAGTTGTCTTACGATCTTTGCTTGCAGGACATAGTTGACACCTCTTGCGAGCATTAGTTCTTTTTATCGGGGGCTCTTCCACAGGTTCGCCTGAAAACTGGCAGATTTTTTTGCGAAGTTCACGTGGCAAACTTAGAACGTTGCGGCGGTCTTTCAAGTGGTCACTGACAAGCGCAAGGCCTAGATTTTTCAAATAGCGGCGTCGTTTTTGGTTTGATTCATTGTTTATGCGGTGTAAAATGAGTCCGTTTATCGCTGCCATGTTTAACACCGCATAAAAAATAGTCAGCGGCCACTTCTTTGAATTACGACACACGTCATATGTAGCGCTCAACTCATCAGCGACGTCAACTCCACATTTTGTTTTGTTGTAATAAGTGTTGATCTCTGGTTTTTTCTTTTCGCCGGTTGAACTATCAATGCAGTCGTCATGATGAAGGCTTGACATCAGCAACACTACCTTCTTCTTTTTAGGTATATGCGACACAAGAGTGATGTCCTTTTGAAAGGCAAATCGGGAGGTAAAAACGCCTTTGCGCGTTTTCGTAAATTCAGGTGGAATTTCCTTTTTATTCTTACGTAGGGTCCCAACTGACGTTAATTTATGTTCACTAAGTAAGTGATGAACAAGTTCATAACTTGTAAACCAATTGTCAAACGTTACGTTACGCTTTGTCTTGGATATGGGCTGCACAATTCGATCTACTATATCAAATGGCTTATTACTTAAAGAATATGGACCATCAGGCTGCTTTCCCGCATATATTTCGAGGTTTTTGATGTAAAAGTTTCGAGCATCTACTAGAGCAATTATTTTTAGCCCATATTTGGCCGGCTTCGATGGTATGTACTGACGAAATTTACAGCGACCTCTGAAAGCTATCAGCATTTCGTCTATTGTTAGGCAGTCACTTGGCACGTAAGAATTTTTGCAGTTTTCAACAAAGGCTTCAAACAGTTCTCTAATTGGTGCTAAGTTATCAAGTCGTCTCCGTTCGTCGCGAGTAGAAAGGTCGTCAAACGTTAAACAGCTTTGTAGGAAATGAAAACGCTGTTTAGACATTACTAGTCCATAAATTTCTACTCCAGTGCCATCAGTAGACCACAAGTCACTCAAGTTTTGCCTACCAGAGCGGTTTAAGCCAGCAAGGTAAAGAAGGCCAATAAAAGCTTTTAATTCTGCCACATTGCATTCTTTTACATGCGTGTATTTTGACAAATTATTGCACAATGCTATTTTAGGACGGATGCGATCATTAGTGCATTTCAGAATATTTTGCAACATTTCCTCAGTAAAAAATAGGTTCCAGCATGCAAATTCAGACAAAGCAGCCTTTGCTTCCGGAGCTACCCCCGGCAACTGGTCAATTATATTTTCGGCTCTTGTTCGAACATTCTGTCGAAGAGGCTTACGAAACCAAGCCGTACCATCTTTACCAAAATACTGCTGGTTGTACTCACAATCACGATCCGAGGAACTTGTTGATGCATGATCCTCCTGCTGCAGATTTGCCTCAGATAGTACCCTTCGTCTGATTGTCGCCAATGGAACGTCGTCACTATCCGAAATGTCTTGCTCGGTATCGGTAGATTGACTACGCTCACTGACATGGTCTTCATTTTCTTCAGACTCCTGATCAGACGACATAACATCCGAGTCAGATTCTTCTAGAACCGCCATAATACGTCGTCTTTCTCGTTCTTCGGTGTCCATAATTATTCGTAATACGTACTGACAAAATAAAAAACGTGAAAACCACAAAACAATGTAGTAAAACAAAAAAAAAAGCATCAAAAACAACAATAAACCACTTAAACCGTGATTCATCAAAATGGCTTAAAATAGTTACACGGACTACAGGCATGGGTCATATTTACCTTTTTTTTGTCACGACACTTGTAGCTTCCAACGCGGCTCTCGCCCGACTGATTTCGCGGAATTAACGTGTACAGGGACTCAATAGCTCCAGCTACTGAGAAGAGCGGCAACGTCGCGCGCGTCTTTGCAAAATTATTGGTGATCTCCGAAAGCGCGGGTAATTTTGACCCAGCCCCCATGACGCCGGGTTAAATAATAAATTACTACTTAATGTAAATTGTTTAATTCATTACTCGTTTTAAGGTATTAGATTAAAATGTCTGAACGTTTAGCTACACCCTTTACTGAATAAGGATAAAGGTAGAGTATTGACTAGGAGTTCCATATATAAATCTAGTAGCAGAAAACGGAATCGCCGTGGTCGTCATAATAGTTATAGCTCTTCTAGTAGTAGTGAACGGTATCATTTATATCACCGTCGTTCATATTCGAGCAGTACTTACAGTAGTAGCTCAAATCGAAGTCCGATTTCACGGCGACGCACAAGACGTAATAACAGCCTTAATAGTAGAATAGTAAATGAATCTTCACCTGTGCGAGGTCGCGTTAACCACTGCAATGTAGATATGATATGTCTCAAAACTATCGTGAGCTTATGGGGAATGCAGCAGATAATAATACAGCATGTCATTCCAATAGAGAGTAATCTCTAGTAAACATTAGTTTCGGTTTTGAAGA